TGGTTTTTTAAATTGACTTTGTATCAAAGTTAAGTCTGAGTATTTCATCCAGACATATCAGTAAAATTTCGCAACTAGAACCCAGCTTGCACTGCAAGTGGGAAATGTTCACATGAGTTACAAATTTAGAATATTTAGAGGTCAATATCACTCGTCGACTTTAATAATGTGGTCGGACTTGCCAACTAAATGCTGCTTTTCGTCTTAGATACATAAGGCAGAATCTTGGGCATAAGTTCACCAGGCCATTTGAACGTTCCATGCGCTGGTAAGGACACACCAGTCGATTTAAGCTAACATGCACCACAACGAACGTCAGATAAAGCATGCTGCTTTAGGTTCATATCAGTATTTCTACTTCACACTCGCGTAAAATCACTCCAAATGTATAGCCATTTATGACGGTTTTTCTGTGTGAACACCTACTTTCCGATATACCACAAGTTTTTTAAGAAGACAATTGCAGCGAAGAAAATTTTCTTTTCGACGAAGTCATCATCTTGGCTGTACATTCGTGTATTTATATCAAATGGATAGGAAAGTTCCAGAATAATATCCGGTCAAGGGTCAAATTAGTAAAAATTCCTAATTTTAATTTTTACTAATTTGATTCTTGACCGGATATTATTCTGGAACTTTCCTATCCATTTGATATAAATACACGAATGTACAGCCAAGATGATGACTTTGTCGAAAAGAAAATTTTCTTTGCTGCAGTTGTCTTCTTAATAACTCCTATGACACAAGTTTTTTCTTAAAATTAGCATTTTGTATCGTGCTAGAAGCTTTTACTCTAGAAGCTGGAGTACTTAAGAGAATGTAAATAACGGGCAAGTCTGCCGAAATAGGTAATTTACACAGTTTGGTGTCGTCTGTTAGATACTTGAAGATTCACTTGATTGGATTTATGTTGAAAACATTTTCTATAAAAAACGAGACCTTGGTAATCCTTATTTGACTGGATTACCAAACGTTGTGGTAAGCGTTCTTAAATCCTTTTTATCACCTTGTTTTATTTAACTTTTTCATATATATCGAATTGACAAGTAAATATGTGATCAGACTGCTCGAAATGTACAGCGCAAATACATCACATCTTTCAGATAATCTCTGTCTCCTTATAACGCTATCGAAATTTATATAAGGTTTTAAATTGTTTTAAATTTAGACCTAATAGGAAGCATTTGTCATGAAAGCTAATAATGTGCAGCATACTGTATGATTGGGACAGTCTCAAAGCAGTGCAGTGATGTAGCCACAGTTATTGCTAAAAAATCTCAGAGCTTAACATAAAAATGGCTGAGGGTGTAGCATGCTGATCAGGAGATATGGTAGTGGCCACAAATGTAAATTGTTCATGAGGCGGTACATGATCGAATAGGTTAGAATATAGTATACTGTTCATGGTTCTACGTCAACGAACTGGTTTCAGAAACTATTCAGACACTAAACCAAGGGTTTCTAATACCGCCAGAAGATAAAAACCCGGAAATTAAGGACAATCAGTATGAACGATCATGTAAATAATTCGAAGATTTAGTATCCGGTGAAAGAACGGACCAAGTAGAACAAGTTCAGTTGTTTAGAACAAGGTTGATCAATATGGCACGCAGCTGACTACCATTCGCTAATAAATGTCGATACAAAATTAGTTAATACCTTTAGTAGCCCACAATTATGACTATCTCCTATAGTGATTTCTTCCTGTGCCTCTAGCGTGTGGTCAAAAACTTGCCCTCCCCATATACTACTCTTAACGATTCTGCACCCATATTATCAGATAGACTGTCGTCAGCATATATGATTTGTCTTCATCAAGGCATATCTAGCCCATATGTCTTGAGAATCTTAGACCTCATCGCCATTCATCTCTAAGCACATACAAATGCATGAATACTTTCGATGCCACATTAGCAAGGCTTTACCAGGTTTCACATACCTTAGCTAATTAGCACTGATGGTTCTTGAAACTGGGAAACTTCATTAACTGCGAAAACCATATATCCTGTTGAATCATTACAAACATAATACACAGCTATCAAAAGTTTACATGATCTGTGATTTATAAATACACTGGCAAAATTAGGACGGTGTTAAACTTCACAATTGAAGCCCAAACAATCCTAAGAAATGTTTCTCTAGACTTCCCTATGGTGAGTTGGACATGTTTGTCACCTTCCATAGTCTCTCTGATGTAAACACCTGTCCAGTATCCAAATTCTGAGGCGTCTTATAAAACATAAAGTCTAAAACTGAATAGCTCCAGTTTCTCTTAAACGGGTGCGAAGTGGGAAATTGGCGTGTATACATCAGGCCGCCAGCTACATACTTCCGCTGCAGAATGTCTTACATAAGGTGATTTATCCTACTGAAGCCTGTGTCTGCATGACTCTTTAAGTGTTTTCCCAGCTAAATGCATTTAAGGTGTTACTTCTAAAAGCAGATCAAAAAGGACAGAGATACACACAGTACAACTTCAGTTTTGATTAGCCTACTAACGCCACTCACATACTAGAGTTGTAATTATCGTTGGTGGTATTCCATTACAATCCCAATCGATTTACATACCATATGTGATATGATTATGAGCAATAGTTTGTGCTCGAAACGTCATCAGTTAATATAACTGTACAACACTGTGTGTGATTTATCAAAATAAAATCTTATCCATAACGATTTACATACCGTTTAATGTGGATGCCCTGTTTTCAGTGTTATGTAAATTAGACCTCTGCCCTTCATGCAACTTATTTAGCTAAAGAAAGCAGTTCATAGGCAATCCTGCACTTAAAGGCGGCTGCCCAATGCATTCATCAGACCAAAACCCAAACAACCTCACATACCTGTGTGATTCGTAGCTGCTTTCACTTATTCATGACCAACCTCCATATTCGTCATATTTCTCTGGAGCTTAAGGAATAGCATGTAACTCAAACAAATTTTGCCGGTGACTAACAAATGGCAGGATAATATAGCTCTAATGGCCTCAAACTGGGAAACACTAAATGTACTTCCTGACTGCATACTTACTTGTGACGCCAATGTTTACAACCGAAAATGTTCATTCACACAGTTATGCCGTGGAACGATGGACTGTACTGAGTAAGATAGCATCCTACAGCTGCATGATATTTGGCGGTTGGGCCAGTTAAGATTCGATCGGTACACCATTGCTTAGCAATGCGTGTGTATTATCAGGGGACTGCGGTCGTTCCGCTCTAATACACAATACTAATAAATACAATCTTCAGGCACTACATGTGCTTAAAGAGGTATTTATGTTAGCAGAGACAATATGATTCTCACCGTTTTGCAGTAATGAATTCGAATCTTGTGGCTTGCTCGTACGTTCACATTCTCCATTTTACAAATGGTTTTCGAGTGTCTCTCGTTCAATCGAAGAAAAGTAATCTTTTCAGTTTCCCATATTTAAACCCAAACACATTTAGTACTGATGCTGACGGTTACAAATCACATACCTTGGTACACTATTGAATTTTTGGGGCCTTTATCTACCGCTTGTTCCATTACAGGCTTAAGATGTAGAATAATAGAATGCTTGCTCGTATCCCAATAACAGCGCTAAATTTCAGTTCTTTTGCGCAATTCATAGATACCAGGATTTCAATACACTTTACTGAAATATCAGGGAATGCAATGACTTCTCAAGGGTCATCTCTTCGCAGTTTACAAGATTGAATACACAATTAAGAATCTTAGGTGGTTTCTCTGGTCTATGAAGTAACACGTGCTTTGTCCTGGTAAAGTCTGTCTCTGTTGGAAAAAACTCTTGATAAGGTATAACACAAGCTATAGAAGCAGCATTGCGCTTGAGTAAGCGAACTTGCACTGTGCGTCGGTGGCACAGTGGTTAGGACTCTCGCCGACCATGCACATGGTCCGGGGTTCGAGCCCACGCCGGCGCACAACTGATATCTATGGTTGGCCTGCAAAATTTTGGCTACCGATATCCATGATGAAAATTCCATACTTGTAGCAAAAATACAGTGTGGAATCAAGCTGTAAATCAAAAATAAAAAAATAAAATAATCCTATCATGCGGCGAGTCATCAATAAGAACGATTCGCACGTCTCGCAGAAAGCAAGGTGGCGTGCAGGTCTAGCTTGATTAACCGCTGCCCAGATTTGGCAAATTAAGGGGCATCCAGTTGCTCATCAAAAGAATTATTTCGCCAATCTTATCAGCCATAGCCCAGGATGTGTTCTCAATGGTAACATGCCTTTCATTTCTAACATACAACATCGTGTTCGATTCCAAAATATATGGTAATTTCCCTGTACGGAGAAATATTTGAGGTTACTGAGACAAGAACCAAACAGATACGCACAAATAATGCACATTTTAACAAGCTAAATTGAGGGATACAGATGGAACACACAGGAAAACCTGTCGTCTCCAGAAGAATTTCTTACATTTAGCCCTTATCTGAGATTCGAAACCAGTGCCGTATTTGTTATGCACCACCAGACGATGCTAATCTACCTGTTGCTGTAATTTTCTGGTTAGTGTCTCATTCAGCTGCAGATTTGGAAATCATTCACTGACAAACAGACAGTCCTCTTAAGATACCTAATTCTAATGGAGGGTATTACACGGTGGCTGTGTATTAATCTTTGCCGCCTCAATTAATTAATGCTGCATGCCGAGATATCACCTAACACTTAATAAAAGGAAAAAATCACTTAAGGACTGCAGATTAGAAACACTACAGTAGAAATCAAAATGTTCTCCACTGTAACTTCAGTAATTCAATTATTCATTCAATAGAAGTCGGTGTCTGACTCTTAAACCCCTTCAACCATCGCTTGTCTGCCCTCTCCAGTTTGTATTCAATGGAAATATCGACTCACCAGAAAACTCAGAACGCATTTTGTAAACGATTAAGATTGGTATATGTGCATAGCACATAATAATTTTTAAAAATGCTATTTGTTCAACATCCGAAGTTAAGTTTGTTTTACTGAATCACATAGTATCTATATCACAGTAGTACGTAATGCACAACTTCAAACTGTTTTCACTTCTTATTTCAAGTTAACCGTATAAGTGTTGACTATAACCTTGGATGAACTGAGGTTTTATTATGCCCAGAGGTGTTATGATACGCACCATGCATCAGATTAATGATTTAAATGACTCATATACTGACAGTAAATATGACATTTCCGATGAACAATATTACTATGGAACCAACAAACGAAAAAGAAAAACTGCTGCCCCACAGAAGCGCGAAATGTCGGAGGAAGCTTGTGAAGAAGACGTGAAAAGGCTATTGAAAAGTCCTTCCTTTGGCCCTATAAATTTAGTATCAAAGGAAAGTAATTCATTTAATTCTCCATTGAACACCACAGATAATTCTATCAGTATATCCAGAGATGATGCTGTTAACACGTCTTCAGAACATATAAGGCTTTATGCGGCAATGCTTAACTACTTTCTTATGAAGTACAGGTCTCCTTTGGACTACAAATCTGGATCACTTCCAACATACCCTCCAACTACCGAAAATAACCACAGTTTCGAAAAAACGTCTATCAGTACATTCCAAAACAGTCTCTCAGAGCTCTTTTGTGCTACACATACGCAACAAAATACAAACCCTTTGAGTGTCACTCACAACGAACAGTGTCAAATTAATGGTTCACATAACGATGATTCCTATTATAACCCTAAGGATTTTGATGGTTTATATAAGAACATTATTTCAAAATACAGTGCATATATGGACTGGAGGCAATCTATAATGAATTCAATTAGCACATGTATAACCAATATACCAGTTCCAAAATCCGGATTTCCAAATTATGAAGCCATGTCGGCTTGTTACAAATCCCTATTAGACAGAGCTTATGCTTTGCAGCAGTCTGTGGAATTATACTTTCGAATGATCCAAAATTGTCTTTCATATGATCAGCTTCATGGTTCAAACTTTAATGGTGTTGGCATTAATTCTCCAGTACGTAACGCCGTTTGGAGTGGACAGACAAGCAGCATGAACAACTTATCTACTCAGTCATCATACCCTCCAAGTTCGTATTCCACTGTGAATTTATCGGCTGTTCTTACTGATATTCTTCAGTCGACTAACTCAGCATTAAATTCTCAAGATTTTTCATCTGAATATAAGCAGCCTACTGGAACTGTGTTCGATCATTGCAACCAGTCATCAGGTACATATATACCTGTATGTCAGACACAAAATATCCTACAATCCCCGGTGGATTTAACCAACTCCGATAGATATAAAACAGTGACTACGTGTCTTTCTGCTATGATGCAGGAAAATGAGACAAAAACCCAAAACTCGGATAAATCAAATAAAGAGAACTCATATGATTATCCATGCAATAACGAGTCAGATGGCTGTGATGTTCCACGGAAATCTGAGCGTAACTGGATTCAAAGTTTAGATAGAGATGCTGAATTTACATCTTCAAATTCTAGCAGCCATGAAGCAATTCCTGACGTTGACCCAAGAAATGGTTTCATCAACCAAACTTTAAAACACAGTACAAGTAACATGTTATGTGACTCATTAATTACCTGCTCTCCAAGATCAAATATGAACATAAAGAAGAAGAGCTATTTTAAGTCTAAACGTGTTAAAAAGCCATTCATTTCCACTTCACAGCCGAATATTAATAATATCTCCGCTGAGAGTTCTCCAAAGAAGTCTAATTTTAGAGGGACAAGTGAAGAGGAAAACAAAGTGGCCCCAAACTTCAAACCGATAGAAGTCAATGTAAGTTAATATCACATATTTTTTAGACTAAATGTGGTGGACATAAAAGAAAGACTTATTTTTTAAGAATTACAAGCTCTGTCCTTCTTTCTGAAAAACTGTTTTCTGTAGGTTTCTATTTAACCACCCTGCATATTTGGGCTACAAGTTGTGATATTTTTGACATTACTATCATTATAAAGGTTCTCATAGGAGACTCTACTGGTTTTACCTACTAGTAAGAATCACAAATTATTATTATGGAAGTTGAAAGCACTTTTAATTGATATAAGACCCCTGACTGATTTTTTTACTGTTTGCAGTTAAAAGCAGCGCCTAAGATTTTTCATGTTCCTCTAGACTCCTCCACTGTGAACACTTCAAAATGCCTTTCTTGACATATGAGGGTTCCATAATATGTGTCATTTTAAAAATCACACTTGGTATACGTCTTGCATCTATTAAACTTAGAAGCACTAAGTCACCCAGGAATATCATGATCGAAATGCCACAACAGGCTATCCCTACTTGCCATCTTAGCGTTCGAAGTCAGGACAAAGGTTTTAGTTGAGACCAAGCAACTTTCATCGAACAATTGAAATTTTTTAATCCTTCAGTAGATGATATAACTTGCAATGCTCTGCGGTAATCCTCATGTGTATTTGTGAGAATTTCTGGAATGAGAAAATACATAAAAATAACATATTTTATATCTGGTTTATTGCATTTCACTATTCGTGTTGAATAAATTAACAAGAAAAGTAATGGCAAAATATAAACATGCAGTAATGTGTCAGGAAGATGATTTGATCGACAGGCCTGAAATAATTTGCCAGTTCTAGAATCTAAGGAGCTACTGTTTTTCTCTATGAGCAGACTTATTTGTAACTAGATCAAAGCCAAAAATAGTTGGAAGCTGTTAGAATAAAACCTAATGCCAACGCTAAATTCATTAACTATCTGAGCCATGTAGGTTGCTGAGTTTTTCTGTATCGCCGGTTGGTATGCCTTTGGTTAAGTCAACCAGAATTGATGACGATGATGGAGGCATTATCGTTCTTGAGCGTTTGCTACTTAGACGCTTGCCCACTCTATAGTCGCTATATCTTTCTCTTGCTTTTATGTCTTTGAAAATTTTGATGACTTAAACTAATGCACTTTTGCATAAATTTCTGCATCGACTTTACAGTCAATAAGTGGGTTTTTAATCAAATGGTGATGTATGCAAAACCTTTATCCTTTGCTTATGTAAAGTTGAAAAAGCTGAATATTTTAACAGCTGCAGTTATTTCTGTGGTTTTAGCAACATAAACATTAGGAGAAGTTGACGAATGCATACTTCCGCTGAAGTTACCCTGAGGTTTATTTATCACAAGCTATTTTTACAGTTCAAGCGTAGAATGACTAAATCAGGGACTTCATGACATAAACTGTGGCTTGTTTAGTCTTCTTATGCATTTAAAAAGGAAAGTTTTATGGGTAGTACACTTTAGATATAACCAGCTCGGGGTTTTAACTCAACAGTTTTTTTAATGTTTTTATGTTGGAAATCAATTTTGTTAAAACTGTACTGTTCATCAAGAATTTGTGTTGAACCTTGTAGCCTCTGAATGCGTAGAAAAAGAGTGTCAGTAAATAGGAAAATTATCAGCTTTCTATTTTCATAGTTGCTTGAATTTGGCGTTACAATCTAAACTGCGAACTGAACGTACTATAGTTTTCTATCAACTCAATTCTATATCGGTGATTGCCATCCTTGTAATTCTATAAACTTGATTAAGCAGTAAAATATCTTTAAATTTCCAATCAAATTTAGGAATATTATAAATTCTAACTCATCGAAAATTGAAAAGAACACAGTAGTAATCTATTTAACAGTTAGATTAGAAGTCAATCGATTTTTTCAGATGTTGCAGAATTGTCACTATTAAAAAAATGATTTAAATCTCCGCTGATCACCTTTTTTGATAAAACTACTTAGTTTTATAGACCACAATGGTGACTACAATATGAATGATAACATCCAAACTCTACCGGATTCCAATGGTGAATTATTCATATCACCCTATGACATAAAACGTCTTTGAAAATTTTCTAATATTTCGCGTATCAAACTTTGAAAGTGTAAAGGAAATTGCACATATGCAGTTGACTAGTTCCTCATGATCTCAGCAATCGCCTACTTTTTGAGGTTAACATAAATCTAGTACTTAACCTTAAAAAATCCACGGGACTTTAACTATTTTTTACGTCGTGGAGATTTAATCCGACTAACAGAGAATCTGAATAAGACAGTAGTGGGGATAATTACTTCTGACATTTCAAAACGCATGTATAAATTTTGCTTGTCCCTTGAATACAGTCTTCAAAGTTATTTTTGTTTGTATTGCCCACATACTGGTAATAAATATAACTGGAATTAAATTATGAATTATTATAATAAAACATGTAGGTTATGCACAGCACGGCTAATCCACAAGTTTGTTTGCTATTCAATGGATAAAAAGTGAGATTGCATGCATAATCCCCTTATATTGCACCTATAGATTGGGAGGCCTTTTCAGATTTATTGTTCCTAGCCTTATATAAAAAGTTAACAGACAACAACGTTGGAAACGAGAAAAAAGTTGATTTCATTTATTATTGATATCCTTCAGACATTCTCCCCTCGTATTAATGTGAGCCAAAAGATTTTGAAAGCGGTAACTCACCAGATTTTATAAGTGGTTCCTTTTGAAATCAATTGCAATAAGATTAAAACATCTGGTAACTAGAAATGTTGTTAAAGCCTTGTTCAACGTAGATTTTTTGTCTGTTAACACTCACTGAGCAGTCAATAAGCCTTATCTGGAATTTTCAAAGAAATTATTTTCCTCCTAAGGTTCAAACTTGGGTTATTCAGTGCAGTGCTGCAGTCAAAGATGTTATCACTGAGCTATTCAGTCTCACTATTGACCTCCTGTAAGACTACATCAGATACTTTGATTAGACGCTAACTAATGTTATGCATCTGATCCTTTGTTTGTTTGGCGCCTAGTGAACTCTATCACAGTCGAGTTTGCAATGTGGTCCCCATGTTAGCTGGTCCGCCATCACAGTGCTCTCAGAACTGTTTTTATCTGATACCTTCAGCGCCTACATCTTTAGACTGTTTTGCTATCCCACTAACTTGTGTCATATTTTAGACAGATTTATTACTAAGTCACACCGAGTCGCAATGAAGAGTACCAGTTTGGCGATGTGGCTTTGATGCTTAGCATGTTTTTTTAACTTAATATCTTGTTATGACAGTGGTCAAAATTAAGTTTGAAAGTTATTCAAAAGAGAGTACTGTTTCGTTATGTAGGAAGCTGACTAACACAGGAATTGACTGTCTTCTGAAAAAGCTCGATTTATTTTCAATTGAAAGACAATATAGAAAATCAAAACAAGTGATTCAGTGAAGAGACTCTTTTCAACGAATTTATCATCAAGCTGTACAATCATATATATGGTTTTTAAGAATTTATATCCGGTGAGTGAAGGAACTGAATCATAGGTGTGAATGCATAAAATAATAATAATAGTAGTATGAAATGCAATTGAAACTAAAATGTTTGTGACTATAATCATAGTTAAATGTCATAGGTAAATGTCAACGGGCAAAACAATTAATGTCATGTATAGAATAATTCGTAGGATGCATAGATATTGAAAAGGGGTGCATAATTATAGGATTAGTAGACAAATCGAATAAAATAAAAATAAAAACGTTACGTAATATTGTGTGAAATTTGAAAGCATAGAATTTAAAGTTGTAGAAAAGAATCGGTTTAGAACGACAAGTGGAACAAGTGAAATAATACCGGGGACAGTTCGGAGTGAGAATAATAATAGTAACAATTGACGTAATAAAGGAAGAGTATACAAAGTGAATAGACAAAATGAAAAAAATGAAAAATTGGTAGAGCCAAAATAGGATTATGGCTTATCATACGTAAACATAGACGGATTAAGACCGTGAAAGTTGGAGGGGTTGAACGAACTTTTTCTGTACACAGAGCTCTGGCTTTTCTGTTTTGATAGCCAAAGCTTCAGCAATACAGATGAGTCCGATACGAAGTGATTTGGGCAAATTACTCTTCGCCTTGCAGATGACTTTAAAGGCGGAGGCTATAGATACAGGGTGATTATTTCACACATGATTAAATTTCTATGTTATAACAGATGACACTTAGTAATCCGCGTTTACTAGAATGATGAGAAAAGTATAATATGTCCTTTAGAAGTCAGTATATATGTATCCTGTGTGCTTATAATATATTATAAGAAGTTATGGCAGAGGTGGGATAGTACGTTTGTTGCCTTCATTTTCTGTTGTCCAGCCTATTTCACTTTTACTTTTGTCAGTAGACTCTAAGGAGTATGAATAAAAAGAATTTTTATATTTCTATTACCTTGCCTATTTATACCAAAATAATTCGTGATTTTTAGCCCTTACATTTTCTCGATCCAGACCGCTAGCCCCCCCCCCCTCAAACGCTGAAATCGATTTTATCTTCTTTGACTAAATACCATTCTTTACTAGAGATTGAGCTTCACTATAATAATATAAACTCATTTTATCACCTATCTAATAATTTGAGTTTAATTTTCAACAGTTAGATTGCAGGAATTTGCTTAGTTTTGCAGTTTGACTACAGGTTATTATCAGTTAGAGAGTCAAGTGCTTGTGACTTATCCCCAGTTCGCACCTACCTACCGAGGTTCGAACCAACGACTTTCCAGTTACAAGGTGAGCTCATCCTCTTTCATTCAATCGGATTCCAGTGACTGAATGGTCTACAAAAAGTTCTGGATTCGACCCTCAGTCAATGGTTGCTTACTGCCTGTGAAACAGCTGTCCACTACTCCCTACTGGTCTTCAGTGAATGGTTCTCTAACGGATATCAATCCTCAATCATCTCTGAAAGAAATTTAGATTTGGTTGCTGATAAATTTATTTCTGCTCAGTGTGTAAGTCACACGGGATAACAGCTAGA